AGTTGTTTTTTCTTCCACACCTGATACTTCTTCATTTGTCCTCCACTTGTCCAGTTTTGAAGGACACACAGTGCCTAGATATGCCAAGTTTTCACCTAATAGCTCTTTGAAATGCATAAAACAATATTTTCCCAAAGAGCTATTAGGTGAAAACTTGGCATATCTAGGCACTGTGTGTCCTTCAAAACTGGACAAGTGGAGGACAAATGAAGAAGTATCAGGTGTGGAAGAAAAAACAACTCATCATTCATAGGTCAATTTTCACAAGTGGCTTAACAAACCAATAAATATTCCTCTGGTCAGGAAATGGTCATGCACAAGGACTGGACTGCAAATGGATGAAAAAGCAGCAAATGTCCAAAGAAAAACTTTGGAAGAGCTTCAGAAAGCCTGGAGAACTGTCGCTCCACTTTAAGAAATTACAAGAATGTCGGGCTCCTTGGAAGTAAAATATAAAGTAATGAGGAGTGGTTCAAGACTTCTGCACAGTACTGTATGCTCTCATCTTACCAAGAATGTCGTCTGATGGCAGGCAGGTGTGGTGAAGCTTCCCGCTGTAGAACTCCAGACCAATGATGGCGAACATGAGGATGGCAAAGAACAAAAGGAGACCGATCTGGAGCAGGGGGATCATGGCCTTCATGATGGACTTCAGCACAATCTGGAGGCCTGGAGGTTTTATACAGAAACAGATACTGTCTTTAAGAATAACACAAAAGACAATGTAACAATCAAAGTTCCCAAGTACATGGTTAGCTACATTTTTTTGTGAAAACAGTCAAGGACTTTTGCCTTTTCTATTATTTCTGCTCATGAAGATACTTTTAAATAGCAATAGTTACTGTATTTGCATTACTATCAGTTTAAATTTGCAGCAGGTAGAAATAATATTTGGCTTCACACAGAATTCAAACCCTGCTTTCTCAGTTCAAGGTCCTTCATATTTTCAATGCAACATCCCAGCTTAATTTTTATGTGGGCGTTTTTTGTTTTTTTTTACACTACTTTATAGTACTCGGTCACCACTTCATGCATAATGGACCTTCCATGTGTATGGACATGTGCAGGTATATATGTATGTATACATATGTATATTTAGTGTGTACATGTGTGTGTGTACATGTCTATAAAGAGGAATAGTAGTGGTACAATAGCTATATCAAGCTATATAGTTTATGTCTTCCATATTTCCAACCATATCCATAATCACATACTGTGTATGCTACCATTGTATATAGTGTATTATCTTACTTTTTTTTCATTGATTGTACTTATTTGTATTTTTGTATTTCCTTCTGATATCTGTACCTGAGCTGAGGTGACGCAAAAAATTTCCCCGTTGTGGGATCAATAAAGTCTTATCTTATCTTATCATATCTTATCTTACTCGCTTGATCTGGTGTGAAAAGACCAGTGATTGGCCTGTCAAGGCTGGATTTTCCACAGCCTGGAAACAAAGCTCAGGGAGGTGCACAACTCCGGATTACTTGGCTCCTTGCTGAGGACAGCATCGAGTAATGTCATTAATGGAAAAACTCTTAATACACAAGAATTTCTACGGCGTATATACAATTAAAATTACTCTGTGTCATCTGTGTCTTGTGAAGTGCTTACATGTGGCAGATAGGAAACAGTGGACCAGGAACTAGTGCGTACTATGAGGTAAATTGACCAACGGGTTCAACTTCCTGGAGGAAAAGTCCAACAACAAGGCAAACTAAAAGAATCCATGTAATGCCTACATGTTAATACTCACGTGACATCCTGACAGTCCAGATTATGAAACTCTTCCTAATTAACACATTCTGAAACTGCAGCTTTTGCATTTGTGTGTTTGACCTTGAAGTGCTTTTTAGTTTGAGGTCAGTAGTTGACTCACTGGGAATGCCGGAGACGAGTTTGAGAGGTCTCAGCACCCGAACAGCCCTCAGGGTCCGAAGGTCGACCGGGATGTTCATGTGGGCACCGGCAGTGGCCAGGATCCTGGTGGACGCACACATTATAGAGATTCAAAGACATTTTTGATGGTAGGGATGCTACACTGGAAAGACATTGTGACATTTTTTCAAGGATTAATAGTTATCATTATTTTTGGTGGCCTAAAAAAAGGAGAGAGACATTTGGGTTAAATTACAGACTATACAACAGGGACATATAAAAAACATCCATTAGCAGCTAAATCTGGTATAAAACTTCTTTCCTTTCTTGAGATTAATGTTATTTTCCTGTGATGTCTGAAAAATGAAGCGCAAAAATAGATAAAAAGGCACAAACGGATGCATCTGAAGGACACTTTTGGAAATGACTCATTTGAAATATTAAATATGATCTGCTGTCATCCCCACAGCTGTAAGGCCTGTGAGTGGTACAGTATTTCCATTCGGTGTAGCACACTTGCATGGCGAGAGACAAAGAATGCACAGCCACATACACCTGGCAGGCATCTCTACTCACATCTGCCCACGCACACATTGATGTCCCTCCACCTACACACAAACACTGAAAAACAGCATCGGGAGCAGGCGACAGGCAAGCTCTCTCCAGAAAAATCACATCTGCATGTTTCTTACCGGAACGGCAAAAGCAGATTCTTTTGTTATTTTTAATTATAATAGTAGCAATCGCACAGCTGAAGCTACAAAACCGCACCGATAATAGCGGCATATAAATTCATTTCCACGTCAATTAAAACGTTAATGCTCTTACTGACAAGCGGGTCAGCATCTTCTGCTAATTTGCTCGCTAATATTTTAACAGACTTGTGAAAAACATCTTAATTATTTTTCCCTGATTTGTCCACCTCTCTCTCTTTGTTTCCACACACACAGAAGACACAAATAT